GATTGCAAAGTTACGCTTATGACATGGCCGGAGCACAACACGAACAAATAAGATTTCTACCAAAAACTAATTAGCAACGGGCACAGTTAATTTAACTTGTTCTGCTTTGAAACCATTTTGAGCTCCATTAGCTGAATTGAAAATATAAAATTGTCGAAAATGCATCAACAAAATTTGTGCACATTCAGCAGCAGTTAATGGCAGTTGCCCTGTGTCGTAACTCTAAACAGAACGTCAATTTCCTAATGTTGCATTCGCTTTAATGCAGTTAATTTATTGTATGGCTTTTCCAGAAGCCGGCATGGCTTTTAAATTGACAGGACGGAAATGTGCGACTCAAGCCGCTATCAACAGAACCACAAGAATGTGGGTCAAGTAGTTTTCAACACTTAAATAAACTCTGCTGCATTGCCAGGACTTTAGCCTCTTCGTGGTTTCATCCTTTCGTCCTGAATGCGAGCCAACAAAATGCTGGACAGCGTTTTCTTTGGCGTTTTCGTTTTCTGGGTCAACGTGGACGTCGCATAAATATAAATTGTATTGTTTCAAAAAGTTTTTCCCAGTCGAGCTTCGCGGCTAACGGAAAAGTAGTTAAAGTTTTGTTTTCGCCGCTAGTTTATTGCGTGATTTCCTTTGCAATGACACAGCCCTGACGCTGACAGCGGGACGCTTGCGGGGGTTGCTATTGGCCGGACTTTTCTCATCTCTTGGCAGCCGACAGAGCCCGTTTAAAGGTGCTAAAACATTTTCCCAAATAATTTACAGCTGCTGTTGCTGTATTTGTGGTTATTTTCACAAGTTGCGGCAGAGTTTTTGGCTTTTCCCAGCAATTTGTTCGGGCCATAATTTCTTATAAACTATTGACTGGAAAACTGCTACACTTGTTTTTGTTAGCATTCAGTTTATCAGAGCCAATTCTTAGAGAGAAATGTATATCCCAATAAATGTTGTACTGTTAACTTCTTTAATGGAAGCCGAACTAAATAGTTGGTTGTTGTGTTTAAGGTTTTTGGAGATAGTCAATAATTGTGCCTCGACAGGTCTTGAATTGGATGCACTCTGTCCGAATGGGAGAGGTGGTCTTCTGTCAATACATGCTCGATTGGCGCTAAGTATTGCCAAAATATGTTCCCATCTAGCTTGGAAAGCCATCTGCTTGTCACTGCAGTAAGGTCTGCTTATCACTGCAGTAAGCCTCTTGCTGGCCAATGACAGTTCCTCATCTAGGTGTTGCACACTGTGGTCAGAAATTCTTGCCAGCGTATCACAAATTCTTTAGCTCTCTTAGTCGTAGTCTTAAAGACCCTGTCACGTCTCCTTTTTGCTTTGGATTTTGGATCTGGTAACAATATATTTTACTTAAACCTTGTCCATGTGACAAGGCGTGGCTTCTATATTTACCCTACCCGACCTTTTATAGCCTATATTGATGGCCTATTCTTGGCAAAACTAATAAAACATATAACAAAAGAAATATATATATATTTTTGTTACCTTTTTTATTATTATGTGTAATATTTCTTGGTTGGTTTCTGATTGGAATAATGGGCGCAACTAATTTGTGTGGTTTTCCTTTCCAAATGGCAATATATCATATATTGTACGCCTACATAAATTGTGTGAGCGTATAATGAAACAATGGAATTGCATGCAGGATGTTCCCTATCTAAGGCAAGATTCCAGCGAGATTAAATAGATATATATTCGATAAGCTGATTGCCGAGACGCTCGGTTTCGCTTTGCTTCCGGTAAAGCAAAATTCAAACTTAAAGCATACTTTTCGGCGCCACCAGCCTCGCTTCTTCGTCTCATTTTCTAAATGATTCACAATTCACAACTGGATTGCAAACATTATGCACGTCGAGTGCAACGTGACCAAGTCCGGAGCATTCCCTCCGGTGGCAGACGCTTTACATTTCCTGACTTTTGCCTGCCACTTCTAATTGCATTTTTACTTAGTGCAGGCGGTAAAGTTTGCGACGATTGCCACGCCCCTTTGGCCCAGTCCAGCCGCACGCGCAAAAGTTTAATTAAACGTGTTTGATTTATGACTTGCGAGGGGGCAGCACCCGCTGTGCCGCTTGCCTGGACTGGGCTGGGCTGGGCTGTGCCGAGGCGTAGTTCTGGGTCGGTGGCAACCGCAATTCCAATTCGAGAACCGAATGCGTTTATTTTGTTTGGAGTTTGATGCTTACTGCTTCCTCCGTGCTGGCCATGAAAGCTAAGCACCTTTATGGCAGCTGCAGATGTGTGTGTTCGTGTGTGTGGCTTTTTGTCCCATATGATTTCCGTTCTCGTTTCGAAGCACCTGGCAAACTTAATGGGGCTGTGTGCGTGTGCCATAATGCGTTTATTGTTTTCATTGGCATTAAAGTTGCATTTTTGGAACCTCGTGCCTCAACAAGTTAATCAATGTTATATCGGTCCCTAAATTGCTCAGAGAGCTACCCAATCTGGGTCGCAAATCCCTGCGGCTTATGCCCTAAATCAGGTACAGGCCACAGCACAAATCTCTCGCTCAAAATATTCCACGATAATCAACGTTGATAGGCCTCCAACTTTGGCATCGTTGCTAAAAAAGTGATTCAGGAAAAAAACAACCGAGTCCGCACAAAATGTATTCCCGTTACATGCTTACGGGTCTGCCGTTGCCGCAATAGCCATTTTCTTGGGCCGCCCTTCTTCCATATTTTTTATGGTCCTGCGTGCAAAATGAAAATGGAAAAAGTTTCGTGTTAAGCAAGTAATATTTTTCGATGAACTGCCGGATAATCGCTGCGTGCTACATTGCCCACTGGATGCTGGCTTAGTGGGCTTAGCTTTCGTGGTTGGCCTGACATCCACAAAAAAACAAAAAAAAAAAGAAGGTGAATATAAAATCGTGCCTCCTGATTACCCTTCAATTAGGTGTTTTATTTTATGCGGCTCGCATGAGCTAGATTTCTGTATCAAACAGATTTATTGAATGGCTTTTAAGCTACTCGCAATATCTGACAATGAGCGGGGACACATTCATAAAGCTTGTCAGAATTCAGACAGTTATATGTGTGCCTTCTTTTAAGTAAACAAAAAGAACGTTTATCTTTGGCATACCGAAGATTAAATACCCTTGCTTACATATGGCTTACGGCAATATATTGTCCATACCAGAACTCATGTACGGCTAATTCTTCCTATACAGCTATATGATAAAGTAGTTCGATATTGATAAGATTTCACTCACATGTGAGAGCATTATAGAGCTCGTTAAGATATCTTGAAAAAAGAATAGCTTTTCATTCAATAACTTACATCATTATATATCATATAGTCGTCTGTTCTGCCTTGAAAAGAAAGATAGAGCATTGCGTAGTTTTCACACAGACCGACCAGTCAGACGGACATGAATATATGAAGTCGGTTGTTGATCAAGAATATATATACTTTGTAGGGTCAGAGATGCTTCCTTCTGGCCTTCTGAAAGACTAGTTCGCATAGAAACAGAGAGACGGACAGACGGGCAGATGGATAGACAGACAGACGGATATGGCTATATCAAGTCGGCTGTTTATGCTGATCTGGAAAATACATCCCTTATGGGGTCGGAGATGTCTCCTTTTATGCATTACAAATTTCATGACATGCTTCCCTCTACAGGGGTATACAAATAATCTTAATCTCTGTATATAAAACATTTTGCTTCAAAAACATTTTTACAGATCTTTGTCAGAATTCAATGGGTATTTAGCATTTTTAGGAAAATTTATCCCTCCTTGGTGAAAATGGGGGCCAAAGTTTTGGTGGGTGACGTTTCGCGCTCAAATTCGTTTTCAAAATCATTTGATTTGGGAAATTCCACCCGCCACAGTGGTAAATTGGCGGAAACGGTTGCATGAAAGTTTTTTGTTTACCGTCCGATCGGCTTAAAAGTCATCAAAGATCTTTGTGAGAATTTTTTTAATACGTTCTTTGGTGGCAAATGCGAGTCAATGGTTTAATAAACGAAAGTTTATTCATCAGCTTCAAGATTCTCTCCTAGACTAACTTGGGCGGAAGCCGTTGATTCCAACACTTGGAGATCAATGGAGATGATCAGTATATTCCCAAAGGTATTCTGTAAGCAACGATTTTATGAGGGGGAAGAGAGAAAGTTTGGTGGAAAATACGTGGAAAAATCAATTGTAATCTTTGCATAATCCAGTAAAACAGATGTGCATAGTGTAATCTGTCGTGATAGGGATAAAGGGCGGTTATTTCTGGTAGATCTGGATAGAGATGAGAATTGACGACGCCCTAACAGAAAAGAAGAAGAATCTATATCGCCAACAATCAACTTATGTAGGAAGACAGCACCGACGTGAAGTTTTGATGGTGTTCCTTATCCAGTTTTCTATATGACATTCACTTTTAATTACATACCATATAATGCAATATTTTAATTTAATAAATAAACTGTGACACTAAAATACTTACTTTTTTTTCAACTCTTTCAGCAAAGCCCTGATAAAAAAAAGAAAGTACTAAAACCAATTCATGTTTAATCCGGATTCTGCGATTTTATGGCAAAAATGGAATGCATGTAGCGCAAACTAAAAATGCATATGTGAAAATAAAAACATTTATTGTCAATTCTTTTTGTACTAAATAAATTTCATATTTAACATGGAGCAATTAATGTGTGGCAAAGCCGCAAATAAAACCGCTTAATTACGTGACTCTGACCAGAGCGGAGTGGCAGGACACGACAACAACAACAACAACAACAACAACAACAACAGCAACAATAAATGCAGGAAGAATTTCAATTGGAAATTTGCATGACATGCAATGAAATGAAAATAATAATATGGTTAATAAAGTCAGCCGCATCAGATTCGGATTCTGATTCGGACACCAGACATCAGACACCATAGACCATAGACCATAGACCAGAGTCCGGGCCAGAGGCCGGTGCAGGGCCCGGAGCCAATTATCGCACTTATTTCGCTGCTAATTAAAATGCAATTATTTGCTTTAAACAACATAATCCCATTGACAGGCGTTTTATTTGCATATTGAACATGTACATAAATAAATCGATTCGTTTTCACGGACTTGCCCCCTCGACATCCATGCTGGCGTCCTCGTCGTCCTCGGCCGTAATGTGCAGCCGCGGCGCCACAAAGCCCCCGCCGCCGCCGCCGCCGCCGCCGACATTGCGCGAAAGGGCCGGCGGGGTAAGCTGCTGCCGATTTATAGCCGCCCCCGCTGGCGCCACATACTGGCCCCCATTGGCGGCGACATTTCGCCCGGCCTCATCGACATACTCGCAAATGATCTGCCACAGGGACTGGCGATCTGTGGTGCCGCGCACGCGCGCCCGCAAATAGGCGGCCGTGGCAATCAGCGTGAAGTTAAGGATGCCCGCATTGAATATGTGCAGCCAGCCATTCAGCTGCAGCTGACTGCTGGCCGCCTGCTGGAAGAGCTGCATGGGCAGCGGCACGGCCACGGGCATGGGAGCTATGGAGCGGGTCCTCTGCTGGCCATTGTGATCCCGCTTGGCAGGTAGCTTCAAGGAGTGCACCACCAACGAGGGCGGCGATGCAGTCTCCGTGCCTGGCGTACAGAATGTGCTTCTAGCGTCAGTCGGAGTCGGTCGGCACAAAGTTGCTTAGATGCTTAGACTTACCCTCGCCCGCCTCGCGCGCCATGCGCTGATCGGCCCGCTTAACCCAGCCGCGCACCGTGGACTCCGGCACGCCCAGCTCCCGCGAGATGCCGGCCTTTGTTTCGCCGTTGCGTATGCGCGCAATCGCGCGCTCTTTGTCATCCATGGAGACCTGCACTCTGGGACGCTTGCCGCGGGGCACAGCAGTACGCTCCATGGCTGAAGACAACAAGGATCTTCTAGTCTATGATTGAGTTTTTTGTTTTTTTTTTTTTTTTGGGAGTTTCGTTTTATTTTATTCGCGTTTACAATTTTCAGAGAATTTGCTTTTTCACGCGCGCCGCTATCTGCGTCTGTTTTCCGAATCGGCAGTCGTAGATATTTGACAGGCGAGACCCTAGACAAGCGCTTTGGGCCAGCTGACATATAAATCGCTGTGGGTTCGTTTTCTTCGCGTTCGTTCGCATTTGCTTTCCTTTTGAGCTTTTTGTTTACTTCTCCTGCCTTGCGTCTTTGACAGTTGCCGCCCAGGGTCGCATCTGGTTGCGGTGCTGCCAACCTTTTCGCGTGCCGCAAGCTCCATTTTCCTGTTCCCATTCAAATTTACCGTCAGTTTTTCCAATGCGTTTATTTACGATTTCCTCTGTGTTTCACTTTTAATTCTTACATTTAATTCTGACGTACATCTAAAATATGTGTTCTAATTTATTTTTTCTCATTTCATTATTGTTGTGGGTAATCTCTCTTGTATCTTTTTTCTGGCACTGCAGCGGTGTGTTTGGGTCTTATTAACGACAAAAGGACTCTGAATCTAGCCTCTCAACTCTTAGCCAAGTGCACATAGAAGATACTTTGGGTCTGCATATAAATTCTTTTCTTATAGGGCTAGATTGTTGGGTTACGGTTTATTAAGTTTCACCTTGTTGAGTTAATCTATATAAAGATTCTATGGCTTTGTGCTGTGATAAATGGGCTGACAGTTGGAATTACTGAAGAAAATAATTAAATGATCAAATATTTGATCAAAAAATGCTTATAACTCAAGATACCAGAAGATGTTTGATGGAATGACGTTATGAATTGATCAGGATAGCTTGGTCAAAAAAGGGATTAACTATATCTTTTGAAACTCATTAAGTCCGAGATTCTACATTTTAGAAAATCTGGAGATCAGTTAAAATTGATTGAAAAATGTAGAAAAATTGAAATTATTTGAAATAAATTTGATAATATGCAGCACATTTTTTTTATAAGCTTAACTCTGCACGGACTGCACTTATTGAACACTTCTCTATTTAACATCATTGTCAAATGCAATAATTAAATAAATGGCCACTGGAGGAAACTTTTTGGATTTTGCATCTTCTCCACCGCTGCAATGCCTTTTTAACTCTGTCATTGTAATACGACTTAAACATATATAATACGACTTAGTTTCTAGAACCATTTCGGCTGAATTTTACAATTTTTTGTTTAGTATTTTCGGAAATTTCAAAGGTTTTAATTATGGTATTTAATTGTATCCCTCAAAAGTTTTGCCATTTTTTTCCGTTTGGGCAGCTTTGACCACCAATTAAAATGGTTAATTTTGTCCTTTAACTTTTTGTTTTTGTTATGGTCTAGGTAAATCTATGTGCAAAAAATATATATGTATTGTATATCGTACATTATATACATATTTATTTAAGTATGCATTTACTTATGTACGCTTTGTTTTTAGATTGACAATTTGCCAATAATAATAATAATAATAATAAATTGTATTTTATTGATACATATGCATGTATGTGTAATAACTAATAAAACCACCAACAATTTTTTATATGCATTTTTTTTTTTCTGGTATTTCTTTTGTTGTGTTTTTTTTTTTTGTTTTTGCTTTTTCTTTGTCATATTACTTGTCTACCTTAATTAATTTCTAGCATCTCGTTAAACTATTCTCTCTTTTTTCTTTTAACAATTATCACGTGACAATTTTACGCTTAATTAATTTAATCAGGGCAGTTAATCATTTTTCGCTTTGTGTCATGTTTTATACGTTTTGAGCTTTTATCGTATAATTATTTCAATTAATATTCAATAGCTGTCACGGGAGAATTTATAGATTTCAGCTTGTAAAACTACTTACATATACATAAGTGTTCGCTATTAAGCACTGCGTTTATTCATTGAGGAATTAAGTGAAATAAAACTGAGAGAATAGTGCACAGAACTAAGGGAGGCGAATACTGATGAATGGCAGTGTGAGCAAACAGCATGCCGACAAGTATCTGAATCTTCAGCCAAGTTTGATAGGAATGCAAAATTAAATGCGTTCAGGTTAAGTATTATAAGTTATTTAATATTCTCTGAAATCAAAATCCATATTTAACTCCCAGTTTCAAATGTATATCAAGTCCTTCAATAGACTTTTGATAGAAATTTCGACCGGAAAACTTTCCAGAAAACTCAGCCAAGGCTGGCAGAGATGTGCGCCTTAGTAATCCTCCTGCAGGTGTTGTAGTCCCGGCTGCTTCGGCGTCCCGCGGCACATGCGTCGCAAGATGGCAATCAGCAGGGCAAACACCGCACAGATGCCGAGCGTGATGAGGGCGAGCTTGCCATAGGGCAGTTCGCTGAGATCGCGTCGCAGGCAAATCTCTGGGGACTCGTCGTGGAGGACGAGCTGGCGGTACTCGCCGGCGTGGTGTAGCAGGCCGAGCTGTTCCAGATTCCACTCAATGTGCCGCGTTAGTTGGGCCAGCGTCGAGGTGTGCGTCACATTGGGACAGTTGGCGATGCCGTTGCAGAGCAGATGTCGCGGAATGCAGACCTGGGTGTCGCCAGGACAGCGGAAGTCGCAGCCGCCGTCCTGCAACAGAGACGCGGCCAGACTACCGTCGGGATTGCGGGGCAAGTGGAACAGCTCGGTCCAGACCAGTCGGAATATGTTCTTGCCTGGCTGGCCGTCGCCCGTGTATTGAATGAGCACCGGCAGCGGCTCCTGATCAGCGCCCGTGGCGCCGAGCTCTGCTGTGGTCAGTATGGGCAGATCCCTGGCCAGAGAAATGTTCTCCGGACACACCACGAAACGCGGCTCCAAGCGTCCGGCCAAATAAACCTCAATTTTGGCGCTTTCGCAACTGCGCTCAGCAAAGCGAGCCTTTTCCAGATTAAGCCACAAGTCCCGCTGAGCAGCCACCTTCAGCTCCCAGATGCACTTCTCTCGCCGATAATGGTGCTCCGGTGGTGCCATCGGCCCGGCTACCATGGCCAGTGCCTTCTTGAAGGGAAAGACGAGCTCGCCATCGGGTGACGGGCCCAAGGTGATGGGCCCGCAAAGCGGACCGTGCGCAAACTCATATGTCGCTTCGAACAATGGATTGGGATTCTTAAAGTACGACGTAATCGCATGCTGACCCTGCACAATCATCTCGAGATTCATTTGATCCGCCGACGATATGACACGCACAGCTCTCGGTATGTTGTCGCAGAAGCAGGCCAAGTTGTTTTGGAACTTGTCGCGCTCCTCCCAGATAACCAGCTTATCCACTCGCTCCTCGTGGCAGCGCGTGCACGCGTTGCTGTTGTACGGCAGCTCCTTGAAGGACACCGAGTTCACCTCGATAATTGCCCTGGCATAGAGCCGGCGATCCGTCACAAACTTGTATTGGCAGCGCACATCGCTGCCGCCGGTCCGCTTGAAAATGAGGGAGTTGAGCGGGGAGCGCAGCCGTCCTCCAGGATGCTTCCACGCGTACATTATCTCGTCGCAGAGCGTATTGGGCACCGGATCACCGAAGCGTGTGTTGTTGAAGAAGTCGTAGTGCGCCCAATAATAGAGCGAGCTGCCGCTATAGCTGCCCGTCTTGGAGTCGAACTGGACGTACAGCGAGGGGCTGGTGCTCACAAAGTCCACCTTCTCCATGGGACGCGAGAAGGTGTCGCAGAATGTTTTGATTATGCGAGCGGGGTCCGCATGATCCGAATCGTATATAGTCAGCGACTCCCCGCAGTCTCCCTCGTACTTCAATATGGGCGATTCAATGCGATTGATGCGAAAACTGGAACGAAAAGAGCAGGAAGAGCGTGGTGTGAGTGTGGTAAAGGGAATATCTGACATCCGACTCATAAAGTAAGCACCGTAAACATCTGCAGCCCCAGACCAAAGGCCTTTGGCTCTTTGCCAACGCAGGACCGAAATTCTGGGCAACATTTTCGACATATTCGCATCAGCCAGCCGCCCCGCGCGCTTCTCGTGCCGCGTCCTTCTGCAGTTTAATATAAATTCCGACTGGTAACAGGTAAAATCTCACTTTTTACTGCCACACGTAGCCTTCTCAGATTTGGCCGCTATGTGAGCTGCATTTCGTTGCAGTGCAGTTTGGCAAAAATAAATGCAAATTGCTTTGCTCAGGTATTTTTGGCTGGCACGTAGAATCTCACAAATTATTGAGGAAAATGTGAAATGTTCCTCAGAAATAATAAATAGACTTATGAAATGATTGAAGTCGTCAAGAATCAAGCACCATCTGCACACTCGTCCGAAAACCACAATAAAATAAACTAACTTAAATTCAAGATGTGTTTCATAACATTCTGACATATTTTTGCTCTCCTGCCGGCCGTCTTGGCAGTAGCAGTAGCCAACTTTTGCAGCTTTACAATCTCTATATATAAATCTGTTTGTCCTGACTGACTGACTTATTGACTGACTTATTGGTGAGCTAGTAAGAGCTAGAAAGCTGAAATTTTCACTGTAGTAACCTTATGTGTTGAGGGTGCACGTTAAGACAGGGTTAGAGGAAATTCCAGCCGTATGTGGGGAAAAATCACGAAAAAACGTTTGTATGAAACTTTTTTGCTTACCATACACATACATACATACATACATACATACATATATATATATATATATATATATATACATACATACATACATACATACATACATACATACATACATACATACATACATACATAAATACATACATACATACATACATACATACATACATACATACATACATACATACATACATACATACATACATACATACATACATACATACATACATACATACATACATACATACATACATACATACATACATACATACATACATACATACATACATACATACATACATACATACATACATACATACATACATACATACATACATACATACATACATACATACATACATACATACATACATACATACAAACATACGCCTCCTGCTCCGCCCCCTTGGTGCACCTCCTCCTGCTCCTCCGGCTTCTCAGCTTCCAGCGATGAAGCTGCCTGCGCCTAATTCATAGGTGAAGCCGGCGAGCCTTACTTACATTTTTGAGAATCGAGGAGGAGGGCAGCTTTAATAAATATGTTTTCATATTTAAATTTGCCGCACAACAAGACAGATTTGTCTGCTATTGGTATTTTATAAGACATATATATACATACATATACACACGCACACACATACACACACACACATTCACACACGCATACATACATACATATTTACATATATACAATATCAAGTTGGCATCGAAAGCTTTTTATATTTTCCGGCAAATTATTAATGTAGCAAATTGCTTTAATAGAAAATTTCACTTTAATTGGACTATTTTACTAAAAAACAGCCGAGGCTCAACCTGACCAAACCATATTTTGACAATAAGTTTTTGTATATACAACTGTGTGTTCTGAATAACTGGCTTATTGGTGATTGGTAGGAACTAGGTAGCAAATGTCTTAACTGGGAGCATGAAAACATGTTTCGGCGACTTTTCCAAATCCACCCGCAACTGTGGAAATTTGCGGAATACAGATGTTTTTAACTTATTTTTCAATCGGCTTTAAATTAGTTTTAGAACATCTTGTTACAATTAATTTGAAAGTTTATTTAAACGAAAGTTTATTTTCCGGCTGGTGTTCTCATTTTAAATATTTATATATGTATAACAAGGACTTCAAGATAGTACGGCTATGTTTTAATTTTCCATGGCGTATAATGTATACATAACGAACGTCTTAATTTGAAACAAGAAACATGGACAGGGTAAGATCTGGAAATACCAAAGTTGTTTGTCTTGATGGATTTACAAACTGAACGACTGAATGATAATTAACGCCCAAGATCGTGTTCCTTTTGGTCGAGAAATAAGTGGAAAAGTAATTTCTGAACTTAAAGAATAAACTTGATCAGAGAATAGCCAGGAAATACCAGCTAGAATCGTAAAAATGATATGATTATATGACCTGGCCATAGAGTTTTTCAAAACCAGAACTCTCGACCAGAACATATTTGCAGTTAGCTACAGTTATGGCCACCGCGAAAACTTTTCCAATTATCTGTTGGCAGTTGTCCAATCCACCTAGGATGCAGACCGCCAAAATAGTTTACGTAACCATCGCCAGCCATCCATCCCGCTAAGCAGATTTTGTACAATTACATTTGCGCTGGCCAGAAAATATGACATAATACAACATTTTATTAACCCACACAAAGTTGGCAAATGTCAAAAGCGAGGAAATAAAAAACAAAAAACAAATCACCATCATCAGCGGCGGGTCGGGTCCGGGACATGCGCCCCGACACAATTTCATTTTCGTTTCGTATCGTTTTTTATTTGTCACATTACTGTTTTCTGTTCGTTCCTTTTGCTCTGCTACTTCTATTCATAATAGAGCAGAGTTACACTATTTTCCCACCGCTGACGCTGCTGCTGCTGCTGCCGCTGCAACAGTCTGTGTCGCTGTTCCTGTACCCCCATCAGCCCCCTGCTCTATACGTGGCCGTGCCGTTATTCACGTACGCGACGTCGAAAAGTAAGCCTGACGCCCTGCGGCCTGTCCTCATAATCCGTTAGCAGCCTAGTTCTAGTTATGCTGACTCAGTAGGGAGTTTATTCAGCAGGACGACCAAAAAAACAAAACGGCAAAAAAACGTGGTACGCCCCCCCATAAAATATGCAATGCGGCAGCAGTCCGACATTCTGACCGCCCATCCGCCCATCCGCCCTCGCCCGGGTCTGTTGTCAACTGTTTGGGGAGCAACTGCTTAGTTATGTGCATATGGCAGTCAATTGGTGTCGTGACGTGTCGCGTCCTGTCGCGCGTCGAGTCCTGCTCAAGGCGTAGGCACTGTAAATTTTTATCCGCGATTGCAGCTTCTCTTTAGAGCAGATTTATTCGATGCACGGGGACCATATTGGAGCACAGCGATAGACTTGAATTTGAAATATTTGAATCAGCGTCAATTTTAAATGCACATTTTTAATTTAAACATGTGAAAGATCTCTAATCGGGAATCGACTAGGGGATACCCCAAACTTTATGCTCCCACTCGTATTAATAAAATTAATTAAAAAATTTTGCTCCAGTGTCGAACTCGCACAACTGCCTTCGATTTAGCGCACTAATTCCCATCGCCTCATACCACACATACCTCACCAAGAGTTGCGTTTTAGGAAAAAAACTGAACTGAAATAAAAGATTTTAGAAATACATCTACTCTAGATAGATCTACTCTAGCTCTTAAAGAGATTTGATAAAAAAAATAGGGGAAAAAAATTAAATAAAATACGTATATACATACGTATATCTTCCTCTACCATTTCCACAAAGAAGCGATGGATTTTCCGAAAAGTTTAAAGCTCAATAAAATGTTCAGCTTTGCTCCTCTTATGGTTTTTCATTCAATCGTTTAGTCAGTATGGAAAACTCTTTTATATATATGCAGAATCTGCAATATATGAAGATTCAAAACTAAGAGTTTAGAAAGAGAACTTAGCTTGTCGGCCTATTCAAGAATATGCACCTCTCAGATAGCAATCGCTTTTTGGCCAACTTCGCATTCAGTATAACAAATCCAAAAGTACACTTACAGGAATTAACAACAGCTGGCCACCAAAGGGGGCAACTACTATCAAAACCCACAACTTTCGAAAGGAACAAAAAAATCAGAAGATACTTCGTGTAGCAGAAAAAGGTGCAGGCATGACATGTTACTTAAATGAGCAAGTTTGTTGGAAACAATGTCGACAGTGTCTAGACTCCAGACATCAGGCAGCAGCAGAGGCAGCAGCAGAGCCAGCAGCAAAGGCAGCAGCAAAGGCAGCGGCAGAGGCAGCAGCAACAGTTAACGCAGCCAAGCAGAGTCTTGCTCTGTAACTGAAGCACTCAAGGGCTGCGAGCAGGGCTGCCAATTCAGCTGTTTTCTAGCTAAGTTTGGCTGTTTTCAGGATGAAATTTGCAGGTGACTGAAATTTTGGTTTAGCTATTTATGGTACCTCATATAAAAGGTTATATTTGACGGCTTGTATTTTAGCTCATATTCAGTGTTGTTTTTATATTTTTTAATTTTGTGGAATTTTGTAAAATGTGTAGATGTGACTGATCCTTTAAAGCATATTGTACCTACTGAAAGTGTACTAAGATAAGCTTAAAATATTATGACACAAAAAACACCCTTAATTTTTGATAATTTTGTTAATTTAATTTAGCTGTATTGAAATCAGTTAATTTTTTGGAGCGGCAGTTGGCAACACTGATTGCGAGGCGCAACAACAACTGTAGGTAAAGGCAAACCAGGCAATGGGATGAGCTGTCATGCGGGGCGTGCGGTGGCTCTGTATGTTTGTGGAGTGGGGGGGAGGCGCGGTCGGTGTGGGCGTACAATTGTTGTCATGGGCGTTGCAACAACTTGAGTGAAGTTGGCAGCGAGCAACAACAACAAGAACAGCAAAGACAAAAACTTAACGGGATAGTACGAAATTGTGCACAGCTCACGCAGTTCTCTATTGCTATTTTTTTTTGTTGCTTTCTACTTTGAACTTTTGGAGCGACTGCGAAGCTAGCTGATAACTAACGGTGCTTTGCAAGCGCACACACAAAACACGGTTGCCACTTGCTAAAAATATTCTATACCAAGAATTCGATGAAAACATACCATTAAAGGTATAAAAATAAAGTTTACGAATACTTTTTTAATTTTTATGGGCAATTGGTAAGCAAATTATGCTTAAATTTGCGTAAAGCATATACATATATTTGAAAAAATTTCACGGAACCCCTTTGGAAATACATAGTTCAATATTATAAGAAAGTGGATATTGGATATAGATTGGAATTGTAAACTATTAAAAAACGTACATATTATTATTTTAACTTAACTTTAATGGAAAATATGTATTTGATAAATGTTACTTAATTAAAAATATACATATTTGTAATAAAAAAACCAAAGGAAATATTTGCAACTAAATGTTATTGAAACACCGAGGAAAGGACCACCATTTTGTAAAATAAAAGGTACACTGTACCATTACAAAAGCTTAGTAGCATTTTTGGTACATTTCTATCACATGTGGCAACCATACAAACAGTGAAGAAAAACACACACACACACACACATACAAATGCTTGTCTGTTGTGCTCTCAGCTCGTCGCAGTCGCCAGTGTTGCGCTTTGTGCACTGTAATCACGCAATCATGTTGCCCACTTCTGAACTCTTAATGGCAATCGGTGTAAACGTGCGCACAAGTTCTCTCACGAGTTCGGTTGGGCTCTGGGTTTAGTTCTGCTCGTTTTGTAGGTGGACATAAATATTTATCTTTTGGCAAAAACTTGTTTGATATTTTACTCCTCTATCTCCAACCATGTGCACAACTGCAAGCGCGGGTGTTTCTGTATGTGTATATGTGTGTGTCTGTGTCTGTGTGTGTGCGAGCGTGTTTGTGTTTCTGAGTCTGATGTTGGCCATGCACATAGTTTTCTTTGCAGTTTTTAGCCAAAAACTTGGCAATGTTTTGCAACATTTTGTGCATAAATTATAAGGTTGCAACATGGTCAAATGTGCAGGAATCTTTGCCGTTACTCTGACAACTTCGGGACTATGCTCAGGCAATACTTTATGCTGCGGCAGATCACGACAAATAGCATTCCCGGACTTACAAGACTCGCTTAAGCGAAACAAGTAGTTGGAAAATATTTAAAATACTTATGTACAAACACCAAATGTGGTTCAAACATATTTAAAAATAAGTTTGTATTATGAGTCTATCAAATATTCAACACCCTTGCAGATATATAGTACATATTTATGTGAGGTTTTCTAAACGTGTATTGAATACATGTTCGGTTGGTATTTCCTTCTTGAAGAATTAGACGAATACTTTTCGCCAAAATGTTTAAAGGATAATAATAATTATTTATATTCTTTTGACAAATCATTTATGCATGGAAAATAGTGTATATTTTTGAATAGAACCTTGAGATGACTTGATATAGCTTTATGGACTTGTCTTTCTGCATATTATAATGGAAGAAAGTGGGAGGTAGAGCCTTATCTTTTCATGCTATGGCGCTGGCTTTTCCTAATAATTTTTATTTCAAATCAACCCAATTTTTGCAAATATATATGTTACTTTACAGATCTCGGTTCCTTGGGTTTAGTTCGATGTACATATATATATAGCTCTTTCAATAATCGATCATTTCTAATACACTGCTTCAATCTGAACGAGTCTGAACGAGTCTTTCTATGTCTATTTTATCGGAAAATCATACTACTGACAGATAGACAAACCTGAAGACGACTGTCTTGCTATGTAAACTCAACTATTGATAACATATACTTAGGCAATGTCTTCCTCAATGCATTCAACCTATTCTAAGATATCTGTTATAAATAAGGTCAAAAGCCTATTCCAATTAGGTCCCTAAAATAGCAGCGCTTTACGAAATGAGAATTCGATAAGTTTTCAGTATCTATAGACATCCCGAGTCGATTTGCAAAGCGCATTTACCCTTTCCCAATTTAAATGTTGTTTACTTCTGAACTCTCTGGTACACCCTTCGGTGGCATTCAATTAAAGGAACCGAACCATCAGTGTCCTCAAAATGTCAGAGCTGGAAAACTTTGCCATCTTCTTGGCGGCCGCCGCCCGATCCTCCACGCTGGAGCTGGGCCGAAATGTAACCCGCAAGACCGCAGTACAATCAAATATTTCCCTACCCAATGCATAGGCGCCTTGCATTCAGAGGGGGCAGGGGTGGGGGGACTTTCAGTAAATGCAAACTCAAAATGCACGACCGAGTGCGACACTTGGACAAAAGTTCAGAGAACGGATTCAGACACAAACAACGGCCCGGCGACGCCGACAAGGATAAGAAAGGCAAAGAAGGGTCGGGTGGGGGGGGGGGGGGGGGGAGCGACGGGGCGCTGCACAAAGTAAAAATATAAAGAACAACTTCAACTCGACACGTTAAATTAAAATGTCACATAAATCTTTGCGGCAAATTTCATTAAAATACGCTTACAGCATAGAACGCAGCGCCAAAATGAATTCAAGCTGGACTGGGACAAGGATTGCGAACGGGGCATGCCCCAAAAACCGCCAACAGGCGCCCACATAGCCGCAAAACTTTGCACTTTAAGTGAAATGTCGACGACGTCTATGGATTTTAAACGGGAGCCTCTCGGACAACGCCCCTTGTCGGGGTATTTATAACAATAAACTAAAGTTCGTCGGGGCATGTGGAGAACTAAACAAAGGGAGCAGACAGCCCGACAAAAGGGCGGCTTAGAACCGTAAATAGTGTTGGACAATACAATAATATAGCACTTGGACGATGTTCAAATCGACTTGCCTAAATAAGACCATGGATATGACTATGGAATATTTAGACAGGGGGTGGATTTACCAAAAAATGTGCTGTAACTCTCTTAAAAACCTTGGCAAAGATCTTTTAAAACGGTTTTGATGATCAATCATATATATTTGATCATGTACATCTTTACTATGCTCGGCCTTGTCGCTATGGATATGACTATGGAATATTTAGACAGGGGGTGGATTTACCAAAAAATGTGCTGTAACTCTCTTAAAAACCTTGGCAAAGGTCTTTTAAAACGGTTTTGATGTTCAATTATATATGTTTGCATATGTACATTTTCACTTCTTTTAATTTAAGACATAATTTTCCATCTTTTCTCTGGTCGTGTAAAATTTAAATGTACCTTTATTAGACTGAGATCTCAATTGATATTTAATGCAAGCTCATTGATCCTCTTACAAACTTTGAATAGCCATAAGAAATAAACGAAACGAAAAGTCAACAAAATCTAAACGCACAAAGTTGTTTAACATGGATCAAAATAAGCCTCAAATCAATCCGATGAAAAAGGAAAAAAGTTAAAGCAATGATTTTCTAAATATATATTGGGAGGTCTTTGCAAACGGGAAAAACAGTTTATATATATTCAAAAATTTATGTACTTTCTAAAAGAAAACCTATAATGGAAATATAGATAATAATACATTTTCTTTAAATTTTTAGTTTTACGTAAACAAATCAGAATTTTCCATGCCAATGAAAATATATGTACTTTAATGTCTACTCTCTGATCATATAACAGTAATATATTTTGGAGAAAGAAAATAGTGTCATATTTGAATGCTCACCTCGGGAAATAGAGTCGCACAATTTCGCCGGGATGTCCTTTGATGTGATAGCTGCAAGAGGTGTTCGGTGGATACCAGTGTGCGATGCTGAGGAAGATGCCCTCGCTGGCGCTGCTGTCCTTTAGCGAATCGGAGCTGAGCAGCCAGTCGCAGACGCCGTGCTTTATTCCCGCAGTCTCCACATGGCCTGGCCAGTTGCCAACATTGAAATGAAAGCCGGTATTGAGCAGCGGACCCGCCGGCGATGTTACAAACTCCACGTACATGTATTGTGAGGTGCCTATGGACGGGAACGGGACGGTGACGCGGTTGAAAAGTGGAAGTGGATTTTGGTTATCGGGCAATCGCCATCGGCGTTGCCTTTGTACTTACCAATAATGCTGAATGGGAACTTGCCCAGGCCGCAAAATTTGCCTATCAGCGGCGAATGCTCATCGCGCCCGTCATAAACGGCTAACCAATCGTAGGGGCAATGCTCGTTACCAGACCCTATGGGCCTGATGGGGCAGGTCATCACGTTCTCGCATCTGTAAAGAGACCGCGGGTCGAATATAACGAAAACTGATGAATGTGTCCGTTGAAAGTGTTTGCACTATTCATTTAAAGAGTGTTCCCCAAACACCAAAGGAATAATCCTTTGATTCCTTTGATTTAATTTATCCCTTGACGCAGACGTCAACTTAATGAAAACCAGCAATTAATGGATGCATCTCGCTAAATTTCAAGAGCGGAGTTGCGATGTTAAAATAAAAAAACAAAGTCGGGTGCAATCGACTGCGTAACACTGGCTCAGGGTGCAAAAAAGAGTTTCAGCAAAATTAATTATCGATATTGTCAAATTGGCGTGTTTCCAGATGGTGTAGGATCAATCATTGCAGGAGTTCGTAGGCATTCAAATTTACGTTAAAATTAATCTAAGGTAACTTTAGGTTTACCACGTCTTCAGTCATATATTGCATGTACCCATGAGTATAAATTGCAAATTTCAATTCTCTAGCTTCAAGCGGACGGAGGTAAGGGAAGACTGACATGGCACACAACCAATATACCCGCTTCGTTTGGTGAGCGAGTGTAAAAAGGAGGACTGAAAAAAGCACAGCCCGAAAGTGAAAGGCATGGAAAAGTTGGCGGACAGGGACGTAGCCTATGTTAGCTAAGCAAGACTTAAGATTTTAGTGAGTCCCAATTAATTCACCTAACTCCCGATTCATACGCACGGCTGTTCAGGTCAAACATTTTGATGGGTAAACCCCTTAAGCCCCCCCCATTAACTACGCCTCTGTCTATGACATTCATTTGCAGTTTGGCAGCGCACATAAAAAGCGAGCGTAAAACATTCAAAGCGTCTTTTTTGAAGCATTTTCTAACTTTAAGTTCCGGACCACTGTGTGTTTTTTTGTTGGCGCTATCTTCTTGCTCAGGTAGAGCTCTGGCAAAGTGACCTTTGTGCTGCGATTCGTTTAGGTTTGGCCATTGACGAGGTCTGAAACCCGGATATTCCCTTTCCAACCATTTGTTGGAAATACAATTTGCCAAAGGGCGGAGAATTTCATGCCGATTCAAAAGGCACCTTTCACCTGATTGTGCGTGTGTGCATGTGTGCGTGTGTACGTGTGTACGTGTGTGTTTGTGTGAACTTTCTAATTGAAAGCTAACTTTGGCAATTACGCTCTGGACTTTAATCAAATGCGGGCCGAGAAATGGTAGCGGGCCGTATGATTCGAAAGTGCAACAAAAATGCCAATTTAATTGACATTTTATTGAGCCTTTGACTGTTGGCCAAAAAGTTGAAGAGAAACTTTTTTGCAAAAACTTTAGATCTATTCGTCGTATCTGTATCTATTAGCCAGGCGGTTGTTCGGTGCGCCATCGTTTCACTCAATTTAATCACTTTGTCAGCAAGTTTCCGATTCGTCTTTATGCTGTCTAGCTTTCGGGCAACCTAATCTAACTTATTGATAATAAATGCGTAGGGCAAAAAAAAAAACTTGATTATTTTTCCTTTTTCCAGCCAGCAGCCAAAGTGGGCTGGCGAAAGTTTCGGCCAACAGACATATCAAAAATAACTGACTGGTAATAATTTCGGCATATTAAAAAACTTTTTTCTCGATGACTTTTGCATTTATTTCGCCTCGTCTATGCCGCCCCCAAACAAAAAAAAAAGAAATAAAGTTCAACTAAAGTTTGTTGTGTGTGTTTGTAAGTTTGTGTCGGGCATTGTCGGGAAAATGCTGCGCTGGCAAATGGCAAAATGTGTTCGGTGTTTGCTACGCAGAAATTAGAAAAATGTTTTAGAAAACTGGCAGCCAAACGAGCCTCGGCATCGAAATAAACTCAACTGATTTATAAAGGAGGCAACGGCAAAGTTGCCGCTGACTTGGCACAACACATTCCCACACACACACACACACACACACACACACACACACGTGTATAAATGTGTGTGGTCAGGTCAACGTTGCCTGGTATCGCAGGACTGGGACTCGGAGTGCTTTATGAACTGGATTTGATGGAGCTTTGTGTATTGCTTAGATGGATTATGGTGATTGTTTGTAAATATTATCGCCCCGAGCGCATAATCAACCAAGTGCTGTTACTTAGACGTATTGCCTAATCGAATGTGGACACCTCTTTTGATTGCCTTATTGTACAGAGTATATTTTCAGTTGTCTTTTTGTTTCTGGGCAAAGTATTTCGATAAGGCTTTGCTGCTTGCAATTAATGAGTTCTTGTATGACAAATTGTTTTGGTTTTGAATATATCTTCACTAACTTTGCCCTTCACTAATTCTTCTAATCTACGAGAAAAACTTTTTTTTACATCGGACTACTCTACCATACATCACTGATATCAATCAATAAGTGGCTATATGTCTGCAAATTCTTCTTTCAATTAAAAGTGGGCTTAGTTGGAATAAAATGACAATCAATTGAAGAGCCAATTTAAATCCCAAGGGTAGCGTATCTTTGTTTTGATAAATTTAGGAACTATGGCAGATAAAAAGTTTCTGAGATACCTGCATTCATACATACGGACGGACGGACGGACTTTGTAGGGTCGGAGATGCTTCCTTTTGGCTGGATAAAACAAACTAAACAAAAAAGGATTTTATAATTGTTTATATTCCTTTCTTTGTGAATAATCTCAAACTAAATTAAAAAGCATAAAAGTTGACAACTGCTGAATTTGAACCGCCGAATTCTCGCTTTTTAGTCCATTTTGACCCAACATTTATTTTTGCTTGTAGCCAGGACCAATTCTCTTATAAAGAGAGAAATATTCTTGAGATGAGTTTACACATATAAAGGAAAAGCCAAATATCAAGTTTGGTGTACAGAGCTATACACAGGCTATCAATGTTTCACTTTGTGGATATCTCCCCTCAATCCATCCAAAACTTGATAAAAAAAATCATTTATAAAGAAAGAGTCTTGGGATTTAGGGTATATATATCCTTATGTCATTTAAATGTTATGAGTATCAGACAACAAACAAAGAAGCTATTTAACATGAAATTTGCTAAAATGTGGGATCTATTTTATGATTGGAATAATTAAAAACGTGGTTCCATGCAGGTCATTTTTTTAGTAGATCGCACAACGTTTTAACTGCTTTCTTTTAGTATACACATTTATATTTACATATTTATATTAAGCCTCATGGATGGCATATTTCAGCACAAGTCATTTGAGTTAAATTCTTTCCCGAGGCATGTCTCTGACATAGTTATTCTCCTATATGTAAATATTCCCTTTTATGTCTGCAATGTGTAAAATGTTTGCCTAACTTGTAGTAATCAAAACTTGTCTCAGTCAGCAGTCTTTTTGTAATCTCTAATTAATACCCTTGGCAACAAACACAGCCTTTAACTTTTGGATTAGTTTGCCAAGTTCTTTGACTAAATGTTTCAGGCAATCTCCGCGCACCCCAATCCCAATGCCAGACAAATGCAAACAGCCCTAGCTAAACATCATTAATGGTATTTCAGCATTGAAACCCTTTCCGAAAAACATTCGATTAACTTGCCTCGCCCATCACACTCGGCGATTAGCTCGTTTTTGTTTGACTAATCCTTTGCGGGCCAATCCGCCCTCCTCCCCCGCTGCTGACCCGTTTCTCGAACCGTTTTATCGACCGGGAGTAACTTAGACTTGCAAATTAATACGCACTTAAAGCGGATTTTCAACTAGTCCAAAAGGGAACATTCGTTCTGCCGTCCTCCTCCTCCTCCTCCTCCTTCTGCCTGGCCGCAGCCCAATCCCAACCTGCCAGATCCACACACAAGCGAGCGATTCCGGCTCCTCGCTTTTTCGCTGTCAAAGTTGGCACTTTGACGTGCCTCGTGTCTGGCAGGACTTGTCAGCGCTCAAAAGGTAAATATTCAAATTGAATCTATAAAAGTAAATTGAATGTTGCTTATCTAATTTCGAGCGGGAGGAACCAGTTGATGTGCACGTGCGAGTGCGAGTCCTGCAAAGCGAAAGACATTCGCCTGAAATATGCTGACTGGCATTTGCACTCCAAACAGCTTTAAGATACTTAGACACTTCTGCTGGCCATTTGCAAAGTGCCTCCGCCGCGAAGCAGGGTTCAAATCCACCTTGAAGCTGCGCCCCCGCAATGATAAGGCAGAAACCGGCGGCGGGATATTTAATGACTGGCCGCACCATTTGTGAAAGGTCAGTGAATGCCAAATGTAAATTGTATTTGCCAGCAGTCGGCAGACTGCAGGTGAGTTCGGCAGACGGGCGGAAGGGACAGAAGGGCAGGCTGCGTGGGCTTTGCACAACCCTTGGCCACATAAAATATTTAAGTTCTGATTTAAGCCCAAAACACAGCTGGCATTTTGCATGTGTCCCCGCAGAGCTGTTAATACTCGGGGGAGACTTCAGTTCCATGGAATACTTGTTTTGCATAAGCAAGCTTATCCGAAGGCATGAAACGATTAAATGAAAGCTCAAAACAGCGGCCCATTAAAACGGACTCAAAAGGGTATATTAGTTATGTGCAAATGTATATGTATATCTGTATATCCGCCCACCTGTCCGCCCACCTGTCCGCCCACCTGTAACCTGAAACGAAGAACAAATATGCTTAAATTTCAAAAGCAAAACAAGTTAGTCGCTATTCTTATGACATCCTTGCATATTTCTTAGACAAGGTTTTCAAGACACAATTAAATAATTATGAGCTTCAAATATGTTATCTTGATTCGCTTAAATATAGATTAGGAATATTTCACTTTTGTCACATATCTTCGGCTTGCCGAATTAAGACATTTGCCTTACGGCTCGGCAAATATATGAGAATAGTTATATATAAGAATAGTTGTAGATAATGTTTTAGATAAATGTTGAGATTGATAAAAATTGTTTGAAAACAAAATACTTTGCCTAAAAAACAAGTTTCTTGGACCAATTTTACCTATAAGCAATATAGTATTGTAGAGAGATATTGATAACATTTGGCTCCGTTTAGTTGACTTAGTAAATACCGATATTGATCAATTTTACGTAAGGATCATGATGACCAAACTAATAAAGGCCCAGTTTGGTCAAGATATCTTGATAAGCAAAAAAGTTGTCAACACAATTATCGATCGTACCTAAAATTATTAGAGGTTCGATATATGTTTGGTAATTCCGGCTAAAAAAAGAACCTATAGAAAGGTTCACATCGGCTGTTGATGCTGATCAGGAATGTATATATAAACTATGTGATGGGAGATGTCTTCTTCTATACGTTACACACCTTATGACAAAATTATAATACCCCTTACTAGGGTAAGCAAATAGGCGTTTTTAAAGACAGCCCCTTGCGTCTCGGTATGTATCCTAGGAAACTAATTGATTAGCGAATTAATGTTTTCCATTTAACTCCTCGAGTTTTACCAGGGCCTTTAAAAAGATGCTTTAAATTGCAAAACATAAGGTAAGCCCATTGAATTCCTTGCAACTATTACGTAAGAAAAAAACAATAAAATTTGAATTTCTTTGATTTTCGCTTTGATTTTTTCGAACTTTTTTGTGGTAATATTTTATAAAAAGAATAATAAATTAGGCAATGCAGTAATAGATATTGAATTATTTCTGCCAAAAATAATTGAGTTTGGCATGAAATTTTGGTCTTTAAAATTTCTGCAAAAATTCGAAATTGAACGCAAATTAAACGTGTTTTCGCTGTTGCGCAAATCCGCGCGGATTTCACGGCATCTTTGTTGTTCGACCAATTTGAGTTGCGCATCGCTGTGCGATGATTCGCCTTGATAGAGCATTAAGTAAGTAACGAGTCAACCAATCCGACATTTTCATTATTTCAGCATTAATAATACAAAATCAGCAATGGCTGTTTTGAGCGCTGCATCGCACCCCGAAAATCACTCAAAACGTAATCCCTTAGCCAATTTCGAATGCAGACAGACCAAGTGGGACAGATGGCAGAAGATGGTGTTCGTGGCCGGGGATTGCGATTCGTCTAGGGACTGGGACTGGGACTGGGACTGGGACGGGGACTGGGTCTGTGACATGTCGCCAGCGTTTTCCACGAAATCGGTGCCAATTTTTGCAGAGCGCTCTGTCAAATTGTCATTGTCAGCATGCCAAATGCATTACAACAACTGCAACACAGCAGACTTCACGTAATGCCGACTGCCAGGCAATGACAAAAAAATATAAAAAAAAAGAGATGAGGGAAAAATGGTTTAAATTTGGAACGGCAGTCGATGTCGTTGTGCCAAAATGACAAATTACAGGGTGTTAACTTGGCGCTAATTTCTCTCGGCAATTTGCATTTGCATATATTCCAGACAAATATCTACATGGTGTGTGTGTGTGTGTGTGTGGATCCTTGCGATTATCTGTCTGCGGCATATCTGAGCTTCTCGTTAGCTTACCTCTGGCCATCGACCGCAAACTGTTCGTTCTGCAGATATAGTTTGATGTACGGCTGTCGCGTATGCAATTTATAGCGGCAGTTGAGGGCCCGGGGATATAGGCCCGGATATGCCGGCGACTGCACGTAGCAGGTCTGGAGGCGACAATCCCGATACTCGCGCTCGCAGTAGGATCTGTGGATAGAGAATTGTAATTAAATGCAATTAGTTTCATATAAGTATATTTAAGATGTTTGTCTCTGGCCCCCGCGCGCGCAGCCAATAAATGTGTCCCATCTTGGGCCTGAAGTCTCTCGGTCTGCCCTGCCCGAGCGCTTTTCCACTTGGGCACAAATCCAACAAATTAATCGCTGGAATTGCCTCGCAGCCAGCCAGAATAGAAACAACAAAGCCAGAAAATTGTGCTCACTGATTTGGAAATTCTGGTGCTTCTCCTTGGGAAAAACCTTGTAAAATTGTTGTCGAATTACAAGAACAACTGTAAACTGTGTAAGGAGAGCCGTGCGTATAATTTTCAATTTGTTCAAGTCAAACAAACGCATTGCCAGGGTTGTCAGCGTGCTCAGGGTTGTCGGGGCTTGCCAAATCACACGGCTTCAAGCTGCATAAATATGATTACCATTTTATTTGCACTCGAAATTTATATTTTTTTCTGCTCTTCGAAATTTGCCTTTCATTTGGGTTCCTTTGACTTTCGATGGATTTCTACACTCTGCGCCCATTAAAATGGCAAAAACGGGTATTTCACATGCCGGCCTAGACAGTGCCTACAAATTGTTCTTTGATTGATCTGATTTTGCCAAGCCCCGAAGCTATGTCGATGCGGGAGCAATGGAGAAGCGCAGTCAAGCTACGACTGCGAAATGTCTTATTTGTGTTCATTGTAGATGTTTCTACAGGGTATCTGCCGGACGAGCACTCTCGCGTTAGATCATTCATACTTGTTCAGATTGGGTTCGGTTCTTTCAGTGTCGATGTCGATGCGCGTGACCCCAAAATTAGCATAAAAATCATATTGGCCATGTGGGCGCTGGGTCTGTCTGTGTCTGTCTGTGGCTCGGGAATTGCAGAAATCTTATGGCTGAGTTTGGGTTTGAAATAGGGCTGTTTTTGATGAAACCTTAAAGTGCGGCATTGTGATTGTGCGCAACGGGGAGGAGGGGGGCTAGTTAAAACTGAATAAATATGGTTGAGCAGAAACGAGATATTCCGTAAATGAATTTAGATAAAAGACAAGAAATCTATTCTACATTTTAATGGATTGATTTCATGATTTCTGAAATATGCAACTATTTTCTGTATAATCGTAATTCCAAATAGTCTTGTCATCTGTAAATAGAAAAGTGCCTATCGTAAAAGTTTGAAATCATCTAGAAGTGACAGAAAAGCTAGTATAAATCTCGATCCCAACCCAGCCCAATCCAACCCAGCGCAACCTTTTCCAAGCCGATTCCAAGCAATGCTTAAAACTTGCAACTTATTTTATTAAGATAAAAGTTAGAGGACTTAGTAAAAAGAGGAGGGAGAATCAAATGAAATTTAATGTCTGCAAAGTTTTTGGGATAACTGAATGCTCGTTTTGGCCCATGGCAGCAGCGCCTGCTGTCTCAATGTGTCTCTCGAACATTTTTCGCGAGTTTATGTTGCCGCAGTTGTCCACCCCCTGCCCCGCCCATTTCTCCCAGCTGCCCTTCTGCTTCATTCTCTCTAGCTAGCTAGCTGGCAAATTGTAATTCAATTTTATGCGACCTTCTGTTACCGCATTGCCAGCCATGCTCCTCTGCCACTTACTGGCCCCGCCTGCCGCTCCCGTTCGCATATGATTATGAAATGTTCTCGTCGTGGGGCAGTTCCAGAGATTGTAAGAGACATCGTCTGTGCGCCCGGGTCCCCTCAAAAACCACTCAAGTTGCGTGCAACATAATAAAATTAAATTAACGCATCGCTGGCTACAAAGTAGTAACTGTCAGTTGTCAGTTGCCACGCCTCCAGCCCCCCTCCACTCCCTGAGCCCAGCCCCCACAGGATGGCCCATAAAAGTGGCACAAAGGCGCTAAACATTATCGATAAGCTCGGGCACAGCGGGCAGTACATCCTCGCTCTCTCTCGCTCTCTCTCACTCTCTCTGTGAGTCAATCTTTTTGTAGATTACGTATACGCACCCTTGCACAACTTCGCCACGACGATTTGGATACAATTCCGGATGCTGGCCATAGCGTAAATAGACTTCGGTTTGTTGTTCGGCGCGTGAATCGAATGTGAAGTAGGTCTGCAAAGAGAACAGAATAGAACAGAACACAAAAATGGCACTAAGTGAGTTGAAATTCATGTATTGTTAGCGGCTGCTGCTACGCAAATCACGTATACGCACTGTTGCCCTAGTCAGCTGCTAAGCTGCATGCCATTAGTGGCCATTGGCCTCACTGATGAATTTTGTCAATTTCCCGCCCCCCTGCCCCCCTGGCCCCTGCCAGCATTTCACCATTCCACGCAAGTTAGCACACACGAGCATCTGCAGCCGTATTTGATGGGCTCTGAGTTGTCCCGCTCAGGTGACATGCAAACCTTGCGTTTAAGTGCTCGCCGTTGTCTATGCGGCTGTTTGCTTAACGCGATGCGTTTTACCGGGTCTGCCGCTCTGGTGTGTCCCTATTCTAGGCCTCATCTAGCTGTGTCCTCATCAGCACTAATGACCTGCTCGCTGGCGTAGGCGCAGCTGTCCTTCCGCCTAAGCGCAGACCCAGTGGGAAATTGCAGTAGAACAGCTGGCCAGAACAAATGTCACCAATTTAAATTTACTGCGAACAGAGAGTTCTACAAATCTTCCGCAAATGCAATCGGACGCCATTTTGATAAGTGCCATCATTATCTAATCATTCACTTATTAACTAACTATACTACTAACTAACTATAGATTTGAATCAAATCGGACAAAACTTTAAGCTTAGCCTAAAAAATCGTTGAATTGCATTTTCCACGAAGGAAGCTTGGATTCTGCGAAAAGTGCGCAACTAAATCTTTGATCCCATTTCCACCAAGGAGGAATGCATTTTTCGAAAAGTGTGAAACACCCCTTAAATTCATTTGAACACAGTTCTTTGAATTTGAATATGTGGCGTACAGACGGACGCACAAACAGACATCGCTTGATCATCTCGGCTATTTATGCTGATCAATTATACATGTACTTTATAGGGTCATAACATAAATTATAGTACCCCCTTAAAGAGGAATGCGAAGTAAGTTAATTGTACCAAAAGCACTATATTCCATATCAGATGAAAACAAATTTATCACTGTGAAACTTATTTATATTGATCAAAAAACAAGCATTAGAAATTTCCAAATTTTCCAATTATTTATATTATTTATTGCTTAGTATTCACGTTAAATAAAATTATGTTTTTTTTCTTATATTTCCTGAAAGACTTTTTATTAAAAAAACTTATTTACTAGCTCTTGACATATAGATCTTTGAGCCTGATCGCAAAGTAAACGACGCAAGGTAAACGGGTGGAATTTCTCAATATCCCGGCTATGAACGTGGGGCATGCGATTAACAACAACCAGTCAATCAGTCAGTCAAGAAAAAAGTCCAATATGTATAGAGTATTATAGATAAATTTTAATTCATCAATCAGTCAGTCAGGTCAAAAGGTCTAATAGTTATACACATAAATCTTGATTCATCTTTAAATGAATATAATAGAGTTATGTTTTTGATAACACATTATCATAGAGAACGCCATTATTCTGAAACTATTTTCACTCATTGTTATTATCATAGAGAACGTCATTATTCCGAAACTAAAGCACAAATATGTGGCAGATACTACTTGGAACGCGCGGACGGATTTCCAGCGGGTTCTGCTCAGTGCTGGAGCGTAATGCACATGTCAATATTAAATGCGTTACCGGCGTCAATGACGTTAGCGCCACTTAACGAGGTGAACAATGACAGGCAGACGGGCGACGGGAGGCAGACGGGAGACAGGCGTCCTAGTCCGAGGTGGCAGCAGGAGCTACGGGCACGGTCACGCCTCGCAGGTGCAAACGGGCGTAGCCCATTCCCGGCTCATATTTGCCGCATTATGCGACTTTAAATGCATTGAATATTTTTGAACGCCGGAGCAGCTGCAGCTGCAGTTGTGGATGACGATGTCAATGCTGATGCGGATTGCGGATGCAATGTAGCGTGGCTGGAGTTATCGCCATGGCAGCGCCGTTGTCAACAATGCTGCGACCCCATGACCCCCCGACCCGGCTGCCCAGCTCGCCCGTTTGATAACGTGGCAAATTCGTGCTCGAATAAATTAAAAATCAGTCAGCTTTCGTTTGTGTATTTGGGCTTTGTTTCTCCTGTCGCGGATGTCGCTTGTGTTGCAATTTGCGAAAATTATTTTTGATTTATTCGCCACGCATTTATATTAATGCCAAATTGTTTTGTTTGCTGCTCCTGGCTGCTGCTGGCTGCTCCTGCTCATTAAATTGTGTACGTGGCAATGTTATTACATGCCAGCGCTCTATTATTTTTATTTATTATAAAGGATGTTACCCAAGCTGGCATTTTTTCATGCGTTCAACGCATTTTCCAGCGCGCTCGCGCAAAATAAGTGGCAAAAATTGAGGCGGCGACCAAGAAAAGTCGGAAAACTTGCCGTGGCAAAAACAAAGCGAACCCCTCTCCCCACTCCACCCTCCTCCTGCTCCTCCTCGAGAACTGTCTAGCAGCAAGCAACTTCAGGTAGCGTGCGGGGCGAGTTTTCATAAATATTTATGACTCCATTAAGGTGTGCATAAGACACTCTGGAGGGCGAGCTGCAGCAGCAGCCGCCATAGCTCTGCACCTGAGAGTCTGTCTCCTACACACAGCACTCCTTCATGGCATTAGTTTTTGTTTTTTGTTTTGTGTGCCATAAAGTGTGTGCGGGTGTGTGTCTGCGTGGCTTGTTGTGCTTGTGGCAAGCTGCGGCATGAAGTTAATCCTTGCAGGCAAAAACGATGCAATAACAGAGCTTAGCATCGGCAACTGCTGAAGGACATTCAAATCGGATTAAGCTGCTGATCTCCAGATCTCTTCTGATTAGGCCTGACTAAATCGTAGTTAGTAAATCTTAGAAAATTCATGCCTGTATTTACACGGCACATCTCTTATTCTATTTAAACTTCTGCTGTCACATAACGATCTTAACTTTCATTTTGTAAATGCAAATGCCGCATCAAGCACACGGAAGCGCATCTGACAAAAAATCAGAGAAAGAGCAAAACAACAACAACAGAGGGGAATACGACGAGGGGGAGGGGGGGTGGGCAGCATCCATGCAGCTAAATAGAATTCAAGTTGTGAAAAGCTTTTGCCATATAAAACTGCAAGCGGCAACGAGTCGCCAGCCAGTGCAGCCGAATGACATAGGGACGCGGGAGGGTGGAGGGGGGGGGGGGTTGGCTGAAGACAGAAGAGGCGCGCAGACGACAGCCAGGGGAGAACGCCCACGTCCACTACCCCTCCCCCCCTCTCCGCCGCAGAGGTTCGACTGAATAATGCATGCAAAAATATATATATGTATATATATATACAATAAATGTGCATGTGTATGTGCGTGCTGGCAATATACCATATGAAAAAACAAGTGGCAAAGTGAGTTGCATAGACGCAGCCAAGCAGATAGAGCAACATGGGTCACAGCCAAAGCAAGCAAGCGAAAACAAAAACAAAACAGGCGGCTGATAAAATAGAAATGAAAAAAATGACAAAAAAAAAAACCCGTTACAATTACACGGGCAGACAAACTGACTGACTGACTGACTTGCAGACACCCTGCTCTCTGACTTAAATCTTTGCTTAGTCTTTAACAAATACAAATAATAATATTTGTTTGTGTCTGTGTAGGTCAATATTTGAACTCTTTGGGCTTAATTGCTGCAGTTTATTGATTAGCGGTTATTTTCTATGTACACAAATAGTTAAACAATATACACATACAAGCGAACAGACTGCGTGTTGATTAAGTTTATGTTCACGCGGTTATTACCCAGCTTTGCCCGGCATATGTTCTTTTGCGAATTGTTGACATAATTTCGGATAGTTTTTTCAAGCTATACCCACGCCTAAAATTATAATTTACTTAGGTTGTTTTGAAAACCTCGGGTGAAAGAGAAAAGTTCCTTAGGTGGACTTTCAGAAATCGATTAATCACGTTTTAATTACTTTATAATGTAGGCCTCTATAAATAAGTTCGAAGACGATCGAACGAAATTTTCGACATACTACCTACTTTTCTTTTTAATTTTTGCAAGCATCTTTAACTGTGAATTGAAGCGAATAGAATACAAAAAAGAATTGCTTAATTTGCGATCTTGGGGGGTGGATTTTCCTAAATCCCATAAACATTTGCAGTTTTAATCCGATCAACGAAACTTAAAGCTTCGCCAAAAAATCTGTGACAGGCTTGGATTTAGCGAAAAGTGTGAAACCCTTTTTTCAAAAAGTTAAAAGATATTAAGTGGGAGCACGCAAAACTTAACTCTCGTGCTATGGAAATCTTTGAAAATATAAGTAAGAAAAGATATATACGAAAGCTTTGCAGATTATAAGTTTGTGCAGGGTATACCCGTCGCCGAAATCAATTTAATGCTGCACTCTCATTGGATCTGGTTCTTAGCATAGAAATAATTAGAAGAAATTATACAGTAAAAAAATACCCTTTACCGTAGTAAGAATTAAATGTGAACTATAATAAATAGGTCAACAGGCTACAAGAAGAAGAAGGAGAAGAATAAGCCGCTGCTTACAGGGTATCTCTCGGTCAGTCAGCATCATTGAGTTCAGTCTTGTTTTAAAGTGGCGAATGAAGACGACGACAGCAAAAACTTGGCTGCTGTAATATTTTCTTTAAATTATGTGATAAATATAAATATACACGAGTAGAAAATAGGACTTCAGCGAGGACATGGATGGAGACGAGGAGGCTACGTGACACATGTGACATGCCGACCGGGCGAAAGAGCACGGAGCTGTGGTTTATTAGTGTAAGTGCGTTGGCGTCTGCAAGTTGGAGTCGGCAGACGAGAGAACAGATACTTTTTACAGTAATTGGAAGTTCCCGGAGCTTGTCATAGATGGAGCTGCGCTTCAGTTGCCCAGGTGTTGACTAACTCCACATCTTTGTGCCAAAACGTGTTGCAAGGACTGTTAATGCAAATTGAAAAAAGGAGGAACTCTTTAAAAGCATTTTGAAACATACTTTTAAGAACAGAGAAAAAATTGTTTAGTATTTTTCACCTTTGTTTTATCTGCCAGGCAATCGTACAATTGTGCTCTAAGCTGACGATAAGCTCAGGTGGTCAGTGGAGACAACAATCGTCTGATTGGCAATAGTTAGAGAAAGAAAATGAGTAATATTAACATTTAATTATGTATTAACAAAACTGTTAAGGTCCGTTAGTGATTGATGTTACTTTAATTCAGGTATAGTTACAGGTGCTCCTCGAAGACGAATGCAAATGCCAGAGTATAACCGCAACGACTAAGGCCAAAAACATCTTCAAGAATCGGAGCTGCTCGGGTGCAGTTCAATTGAATGTTGAATTAAAATAGGAGAATAACATTAGCATTGCACTGTTAACAGCAACAGCAATGCAATGCAACATGAGCTGTCTCTGTTATGCCTAATAACATTCTCGTTATTTTGCTGTTAAGCTGGCTGTTAAATGCGCTACAACAATTTGTTTGCATATCCTTAGAGAACTCAGTGCTTGGTTTTATTTAATGCAAATACTGTAAAACTATAATATGCTGATACTTTCTTGCCATCGATAAACATAGAAATAATAAATAATAATAATTTTTTTTTTTAAACTGCTGCAGCACAATATCTACGCCATCTTTTATACAACGAAGACCAAAGTTCATAGGTATATACAAATGTTTATATAAATAAGAACAAAGACTGTGCAACTTATCATGTTGCACTTTGTTAAATATACAAGTCTTTCATTAACTTCTGACACAAATAAATAAGTATTAAGCTGAACAATTGTAAACTGTCCTAACAGGCAATTAATATAAAATATGACGTTTAAATACGACGTACTAATTGAAGTCAAATCCATGCTTACATTTATATTTCCAATTTAGTTTTTATTTTAGAAGTCGTCATACATATTTTGGCAAGCTATTCATTTGCTTACATATACAAAGGTGCGTAACATAATTCTGTAAAATCATATAACATAACGTCAATGAGCTAACATGACCGGACTTAACACATTCCTGTTAAGCTGCCATTTAGTGAGACAGCTCGTGTTATAGGCAATTTAATTAATTGAAACGAACTATTGTATGAATGAGCCTGTTTTAAATAAGTTTTGAAATTTCACAATTGATTCATAGATTGACGCATCTGATCTGCTTGAGGTTAGATATTATTCCTACAGTCGAAGACTTATCTTATTCTTGAGTTGGGAACTTTCCACAAGTTCAATTTAGGTGACAATTATTCTATTTCAAATCTAACCACATAGGTGGCAAGTCGCGATCCAACTCACCTGATCTGTAAAGTTGTCCGTGTGGAAGAGCACCTTGACATAGCTCGTCTCGCTGATGAACGTCTGGGGCTGCTCGGCTTCGCCGCAGAACATGCCTGGCTCGCGGCGATTGGATACGTCTGTTTTGGCATTGCCATCAACAATCTGCAACAACAACAACAACAACAGCAAGAATAATGTCATACGAAGTCACATCAAATGATAAGCAAGGACGACGGGCGCCGCAAACTATGCGAGCCACATAAATTGCCAGCGCGAATTGGATTGGATGCGAGTCCTGGCCCATAAAGCTGTCAACCGGCGCATACGCGGGAATTACGTGGACACATATGTCATCATTTAGGCGAGGCGGAGTTATAAATTAGATTTGATTGCCTCGGCGCCATAAATCAGAGCCGCCAACTGTGGCCTCCGGCGAGCCTAATCGAGTACTCACCTGCAGGTAGCCGCCCTCGCAGTGGGTGGCATTGAGCAGCTGTCCCACTTTGAACTTCTTAAAGCGCAGCCGGAGCACGAAATCGCGCGGAGCTCCTTTGAGCGTGCGAAAACGATACCAGCAGGTGAGGGGACGTCCCAGATTCTGATTGCTGACCTCCGGCGAGCTGATGTCCTCGAATATGTCCACCGTTTTATTGCAATGATCCTTGGATATGTCCGAGGAGCTGCCGCCGCCGCCGTTGCCGCCACCGCCGCCGCCGCTGCCGCTGCCACCTGAAAGTTGACGAGCAAAAAATAACCAAGTCAGCTTATTAAGAGCAAGCACGGAGAACAGAGAACATGCCACCGCCACAGCCGTCCGTTGGAATTCATTGTGCCTAATTTATACAGCGAATGCATAAATGACAAAGGGACATTGTGCTGAATTTGTAATTCCAGTCTGGCTGCCGCCCCCAAATGCAAAAGACGCACACCTCCGCATCGTCCCTGACTGTGACAAAGGCCATCGCAGGACCTGCCCCCTGGCTCCTGCAACCCTGCCTCTGCCTCCTATTCATGCCCCAGAGCGCCACTTCAGCAGTCAACCCGCGTAAAATTTTGAGCACTGAGTCGACTCAAGTCGTGTCGCGTCGCGTCGCGCCGCGTCGTGCCGGGGAGTTTGTGTTTGTTGTTTTGAATGGTTTCTTCAGAAATTGCTCAGCCGGGCGAATTGTAAGCTTGTTCCAGCTCAGGATGTTGACTGAATGGCAAGCGAAAATTTCTATAGTTTATTGCTCAACTATAAAATACTGCCAGCTACAAATTATTTAGATTCCTTTCTTGGGCTAACAATTTAAGCTAATAACTGCAAGTATTATTACATGGTTCAAATGATCTCGGAGAAAGTTATTTTCGAAAACAATTAAGTGAATTTTTCGAAACCATTTTATGAATATTTTAAAGGGGATAAGAACTTTAGTATTATTACATGGTTCAACTGATTTCGGAGTTCAGTTCGAATCGGAGAATTTTATTTAGAACCCTTATCGATATGCTCCAAACTTTTTTCAAAATCAATGAAGTGAAATTTTCGAATCCGTTTTGAAAATCTGTATAAAGGGGTAAGAACTTTACTTAACTTTTTATATTGCAGACTGTATTTTAATTTGGAGTCAAATATACAAGACTTGTAAGAAAATATTCCAGTAATTTATATATTTGTAGGATTCGGAAAAGTTCCAGAAGAGCAAGTAGCCGAGCCAGATCAGAGACAGATCAGGCAGAGAGGATCAGATAATCGGACGATCACAAAAACAGTCGATGCCGAAATCAAAGTTTCACATTAAATTTAAATTGCAGATAAACTACATATAGCATTATAACCTACATCTAAAATTACCCAAATAATTTAAATAAACTGTATTTTAAATAATAATACAACGTCGTCTTCGAGTTATTTTAATCTCTACGAAATACTGGATAATCTGTATCAACAGCCAAGACGATATCTGTTTGAGGGCAATCTAGTTTTATTAAATACTACCTATCCCCTTTACCTATAGCTGATAAAAAGCATTATACTTTGCAAGACGATTTCCGAAGTCCAATTGAAAAATCAACTTATAGTCGCAAAGATATGTCAAAATCATGAATGTCTTTAGTGCGTAACGCCAGGGTATGGCTTTATTTTGTCGTCATTGAATTTTTTAATCATGATCTTTTTGTCGCTGGCATTTCTGTTTTGTCTTTAGACACAAACAAAGTTGCTACGTGACCAACATTTTTGTCCTCTCAGGCAATTCCTTTGATTGCTCGCCTTTGCATTGCCAATTCTTTCTTTTGTGGCATCGCTGATTTTGGGCCGGGCTTGAAATTAGTGTTGATTTGTGCTCGCCGCCAACTGGCAGCCTCTAGTTAAATTATGAATGCCAATCGTGTTCTTACTTCCTTGCTGGAGTGCCAAAAGAAACGCAAATACCCAACCCAAGTTACCGGACGCAGGGATGAAAACTCGGTAACCGTTTAATATGGCTCCACATAATTATAAATATTTTAAAATTTGTAAAAATTTCATACACTTATTCCCTTTAGCTGGCATTTACACTCAGAGTTGTGGAGTTTTCGAAAACACTTCCCAAATAATATTTAACAATAATCAATACAAATGAGTTTGTCGTGTCAAAAGACAGATGGAGAGCAGTATAAGATATATGTATAAGAAATATAAGACACATATTGAGCAGAGTGGACATGAAGAAGAGTTAAAGTATATGTATATCTAAAAAATATAAATTATAATTATAAATAATCAACGTCATGGAATGTATGAAAGCCGAGTTTTACAGTTTTCCAAGTTGCAATCAATAAAATTACAAAATTCAATTTATATAGAGACAAGTTGTCCCTCTCAAGCGTCCCTCCAGAACTCTTCCAATCCCTTAATGTCCTTAAACACTTGTATCCCAGTCATAAATGTTGAAATTTTTATGATAAGAAGTTCGATTTGCGCGGTTTAACAAATTACTCATTGCTAATCAGGTAGAGTTATGTGAAAGTACTTGCAAAAGGCATTGCTTTCTATCAGTTAATCTATTTCAAGGCTTTCCTTTGTTTGTATCCTTTATGGCTGCCTGAGCGAGCTTTTCACAACTGGCACTTAACTTGAACTTACGTAAACACATCATCTCATTATAACTCATCCAGATTTAATTCTGTTTACCAGGTTTGGCTTCAAAGCAACGTCTTAAACTTAATTTCAGGCATTACAAGCCCTTCAATAAAATCTACAACTTAATCAGGCGAGGCAACACGGAGCGTTGGCTTTTTAGAAACCACTCAGACATCAAAGGATTAATGAAATGTAATATATGCTTTAATTTAGCTTAAGGACACGCTAAGACAGCCACAGAGAGATAGATTTCAAAGAGCTGCGCGAATCGATACACGGCGAGCTCGACAAAATTTGACAAACGCAATGCGCTTAGCTGCAGGCGATTGCCGCCCCGCCCCACGGATCCGCCCAACCGCCAAACCACAAGCCCCCGCCCCAGCCCCCGCCCCCTTGACGTCCGCCCACGAAAACCACGAACACAGCACGCGCTGATACAGAGCTGGGGCCCAGCTCCCCCCAAAACCCCCTTTCAATCCTTGCCGTAGATTCAGCTTCTCCTGCACTTTAAGGGTCGACAATGAAGGCAGCGTATAATAAATCTGCTTAATGTATCAGCGTTCTTTTTTTTTCTCTCTCTGAAAGAAGCCAAGTAACTTCCCTTTGTCCATGTGGCATGCTGTCAAAAGATAAACAATAGAAGGCCTGCTTTAGTTGGGTAATTAGTGGGCCACGCGCTTACGATTCCATGGAATCTTGAAGTTTGCTACTTGCATTGGAGAAATACTGGAAATGGAAGTGAATGGCAGTGACAGCTGCGAAAGAACTTCATAAATGTGCTCGACATTAAAGATTCCATAGAACTAACACTAGTCGAGAGTATGCGACTAGCAAATGCCCTGCAGCCAGTTGCGCAAATAATGATGTGTGTTTAAAGGATTTAATACGTTTAACTTTCTCCTTTTTTAGTCCACATATATATATTTATAACATCCACTGTCCGGCCAATGGCATCAATCACTCGACCAAAGCCTCTGCTCGTCCATAGCCAAAGATCGTGATTTACAATCTACTTCAAAAAGGGCCAGACGCAACTCAACTGGTGCGAGTCACATGAAAAGCCTTTGCTTTCTGTGTCTGTTGCTTATTTTTTGCCTGCGAGTTCACGATACTGTCGACACATGCGATACGCCCACTAAACGGGTTGCAAGTACCCGACTAGGAGATACCCTTCGTCCAGCACCGAGCTGCCGTTACATATATTCAAATATCCTTTCACGCACGCAAGAAAAGGCTTTCCTTTTCCACAAACTATGGGATGTACGTTTTTGAGTAACTTGTTATATAATATTATTAAAGGTATCTTAAGAACTTTTCTGGACATTTTATAATTTATCTATCTTTAAAAATCAATTAAATTTCAATTTGTTTACAACATTAGGGGAATTCGGGAAGTTGTATATAAAGTAAAACATTTTTAATCTATGTTTTAATTTAATTTTAATTTTAATTAGTTTACAGCATTAAAGGATTTCATGCAGTTGTATATAAACTAAAAGATTTTTAATCTATGATTAATATACGATAATCTACATATCAAGTTTGCTGTAGTCAGATTTTGTAACCCTTAAGTTTTGCTGAAATCTTAGATATACAAGAAGATATACTTCAACGCGTTCTTACTAAGGGAAAACCAGGCCGAAAGACATGGCTTGATAGACTTTACACTTACTGGGCTATTTCTTTTTGCCAGTATACCCTTTTGCCCCACTTTAAATGGCCGTGGCCGTATAGGCACTACTCGAAACCCAGACCAATACCCCTGCCCCAGCCCTCGTCTGGCTGTCTCGGCCTGCTCATCGATTAGATGCGCTACGTTAGCTTCAAATGGCAAACAATCGGAGCGACAACTATCGTAGAACCAGAGCAACAGTCCAGGCAGCCCAGACACGTCATACTTTAAAGATTACTTGACCTGGCGGCGCACGGAAAACAACGGAAGTGGAGGTTGGTTGGGGTTGGGGGGTAGGTAAATGTCAAAGTCAAGTAGAAAAATTGTAAAGTCGGCTTGCCTTTTGCATATTTTTCACTGAGTCAGAGTCAGAGCCAAGGACAGTTACGGGTAGATGGCTCCAGTCCCGCCCGCCCGTACGCCCACATGTTGATATATTGTCAACAGAAGCATGTCGCATTTGTCTCGGCTTTGCTCGGCTGTCTGGTCTCCCCCCCCCCCGCCCCCCTCTCATGTATATCCCCTGTTATATGTATATCCCCTTTTTGATAAAGGTTGACAAGAGTCCCCGCCCGCCCACGCGTACAGCCGCAAATCTAGCACCCAATCTGCTGCTGCTGCTGCTGCTGCTCTTGTCAACAGTCATTGAGGAGGCAGTGAAAATCGATTATGAAAATCGTTTGCTGAAATTTTTCACGCACGCAGCCGGAGAGCTGCCAATAGCTCGCTCAGATGCTCCGACCCTTTTGAAGCTGGCTTAAATTGTCGCTTCGCAGCTTTTAACATAAATATTTTAATAGAAATTCGTGCCTAAGCGGCTTCAACTATTTGCAGCTGGGCACCGAGAACGTGAGACCGCTCAAAGATTGATGAATGATGGATGCCTTTTATGGGTCCCGGCTCGGCTCCTCCTGACTTCTCGATTCACTCAGCAGCTGTGCGTGAGTCGACCTT